GCGCTGGTACTAAAAACTGCCAAACTCCACGGGAAACGCTCTGCGGGTCCAGGGAAGTTGGGTTTTTTTCCAATAACCACTTTAGATTTGGGGTTTTTGTTGTTTTCTTTTTCCCAAATGGCGGAAGCGAAGCAGTTGTGAAGCAAAAATAACACCAGAGTGCTTTTGTCCTTCTTATCTCATGAGAATGAACAAACACCCTCCTTTCAAAGAAGGGAGGTGGCCTTCAATTCTAAAGCCACTTGTTCCAAAGCTGTCACTGCCCCAGCACCTGCACAGCCACGCAGCTGCCTCAGGACATCCGAACGGAAAAATCCCTCCCCTGAACATCTCCAGGTTGCGTAGAGCAACGCCTGAATCCTCTTCTGCCGTCATTGAGGCCTGTGGTAATCTGCTGCCTGCCTAATCCTATAGGTGCTGAATAAACAATCCTAAATGGCAACCCTCAAATGTCTTAGATTAGTAAATCTAAGATTAAGAATGCACAGGGGCAGCAACAGCTCGGACACGTGTCTCCGTACGTGCACTGGTAACGTGTACCTGTTGGATGCCTTGGGTGCCTGATTCCAAGTGTCAGGCTGCTGAAACATTAGGGAGAAACTGTTATTTGCCTTTAAAAGTCTGTCTGACGTGACAACCACCACACTGTGACAGGTACAGAGCGCTGGCACAGCTTTACGGAGCACTGCATCGAGAGAGCTGGAAATGCTGAGTGACCAGGTAACTTCAGCCTGCTCAGATCTGTGTAGAAGCCTGGCTTAAAGCCCAGCGTGTGCTGAATTGCACACAATTAAAACTGAATTGAAACATTACACTGTCTACCCTGGTTTCAGAAAGGTATAATGGAAAGAAAAAATCAAATCCATGTGATGCCTACAGGTGGTTTGATGTGGGATGCTGGTTTGAGTGGTTCCTGAAGCAAATACCTGCAGGTAGCGCTGGTGGCTGCTCTGATAGCTGCACCAGGTTTGGTTTTTAGCTAAGCCAGACCAGGATAAGCCTACTTCTGCTTACTCTGTGCTCACAGTGAGGAAAGGTGGCAGAAGAATCACAGACCCCCCCACTGAAAGCTTGTGCTGCACAGCAAACTGCTTTCTGACAGTCCCAGGCAAGGAAAACCGGGTGACAGACTTAATCTGGGTGACAGACTTAACGAGGTTACTTGATGCATGTTGCCACAGACCCATAAGAGTCCCAATGGTGCAAGACTGGAGAGAAGTAACAGACTCTGTCAAAATATACTTCTCCAAAATTGTGTGTGTGCTTCAGAACTGTGTTTCATTAGTGTACTGCTTTTTAATTAGAATCCACGTGAATTAAGGTGTGTTTTGAAGGGAATGGACTTGCTCCAGGCTCTTGATCATTGCCCTGGAGGGAGCTATGGAAAAACAATACTTGTTTTCTTCTATCACTGAAAAAATAAAGTTGCACACTCTAACTTGGGTTTTCATCCCTGTGTAAAAATGCTGAGGAGGATGGTCTGGTAATAAATATTTGGTTATTTTGGACATTTAGCTGTGTTAACAAGGGAGCTTGTAAGCAGGAGTGGCTGAAGGGCCGCAGAGGCTCACTGCTGAGTCAGGCTCTGCGTGCCAGGCAGCTCAGCTGCGATTAGGGCTGGACAATGCACGGCCACAGCCTGCTCTGGTAAACAACTGCTATCACCTGCAATAGGTGTAGTCCTGGGCTTAAGGTAAACCAAAGGTTCAGATACCTTCTGGAAGGAAGCAAGCCTGGTAGCACAAGGAAATTACAATAACAGATACTAAGAAATGGTCTGCAATTATTTGATAAAGTTTTAAAATGCAGTAAGAAACGTTGCTAGAGCCTGACAGAGGAGTTGTTCTCCTGCTCTGGTTCCAACAGTCCCCAAACCCAAACTGCTAGAAGGGAAGAACGAGCCCCTTGTCTTTACTTCCCCCCTGTAATTCCTGGAACTGCACTATGCTGGTAAATATGATATGGGTGCTGACAATTAGTTCCCCTTCTCTTCATCTCTCATTTCTACAAGTTTATTTCTTTTGGGCAACATTCATAGCAGTGAGTAAACTTTGCTGTATCTTATTACTGTAGCTCTGCTGAGCTTGTTGTGGTAATTCTGGCACAGGCCAGGTTTAGGCTGTGGTATTTAAATGTTGTGCACTAGTCTGCTCCATCATGATCCCAGAGCCAGAAGTGTTTATATTTGAGCAAAATCCTTTTAATTGCTCAGGCTTGCTTTAAACAGGCTTTTTTTATTTCCCTAGCAATTGATGAGTACAAGCCCCTGGATGCCACCACAAACCCATCTCTGATTCTGGCTGCTGCTCAGATGCCAGCTTACCAGAAACTCGTGGATGATGCTGTTGCCTATGGGAAGAAACTTGGTGGGTGAGTAAAAGTGGTTTTTTAATCTCGGTAGATCTATATTTAAGATGCCTTATTTATGCAAATAATGTTAAGTACTACTGGCAGTGTACTGGGGTTTTCTCTTTATGTTCTTGTGGGTGTATCTCCTGCCCCAAAAAAGCCTCAACCCTCAAAGAAAAATTTATTGTGCTCATTTCAGATGCACTTTGAAGTGTATCTCCATTTCCCAGTTCACATGTGGCCTTCTAGGACTGCTCAGGAAAACACTCTTGAGTGGACAGCATTATGGGGAATAGTGTCCAAAGGCCAATACTGCTGGTGGTGCAGAGGGCAGAACACAAACATGCAGCAGAACAGAAGTGGCCACTTGAACTCTGGAATTTAATGTTAAATGAGCTGTGAAATTTTGATTTTCAAATCCATGGCAAGGTATAAATGCAATTCCCTCCCCCATAGAAATGCATTTGTTCTTTGTGGTTTTCAGGTCAGAAGAGGAGCAGATCAAAAATGCTTCTGACAAACTTTTTGTATTATTTGGAGCTGAAATACTGAAGAGGATACCTGGCCGTGTGTCCACAGAAGTAGATGCAAGGTTGGCTCTTTTTCCTCTGGGTTACCCTGGATATTTGTACATACAAAAAGAGACATGATGTGAGTTGGAGAAAAATGTTCTTGACTAGACAGCTCACTGCTGTAAGACTAGCAAGTTTATAGTGTTAGTATTTGTTTAATTAGAGGATGGATTTCCCTTAGTTTGCGTGATTAGAACTTTGTGACAAAATTTTATGTAAGTAGTGCTGAGCTTGGATTTTTATAATCTTCCTGTTGTTTCTTAAGTGAGGGATGCTTCCAGTATACTTGGTTTTGCTCATTCTCTTCTGGGGGATAATGTCTTCTCAATTTACCAAGAAATCTGTTTTAAGAGTTTGTTTAAAAACTTGCATAGGATTTGTCTGTCAATCTACTCACTGCCAATTCACTTCTAATGCTCACCTCCTGCATTCACTATGAGAAACTTGCAGTTTAATCTGCAACTTTCTCAAGGAAAGCTATCTTGAGGTCTGGATCCTCTGAATCAAATAGCAGTGCTGTCATACACCTAACTTGATGGGCTCACGATCTGGGAAGTATCTCTGAGAAGAAAAGCCTGCTCTTGGCATATAAATGCTGATAAAATAGACAATGTTTTTCAATGGGGTTTGGAGGGAGGAGAGCATTAAAAAAAAATAATCAGTTTTAAGCAGTCTTGCTCTTGTTTCAAAGGTTGTCCTTTGATAAGGAAGGAATGATTCAAAGGGCCAGGCGCCTCATTGACCTTTATAAGGAAGCAGGAATTGGTAAAGATCGTATTCTCATAAAGCTCTCTTCAACATGGGAAGGGATCCAGGCTGGCAAGTAAGTTGATTCAGAGCATGCTTCTACCTGTTCACAAGTGACAAATGCATTCTGCACTTTAAATAATGGTTTTGAAAGCACAGCACCAGGAAATCTGTTACTAAGGCTACAGCTAGCAAGCAAGGTGCTCTGCTGCAGCTTTCTGTTGAAATAGGAAAAGTTTGTTCATACAAGGGCCAAGCCACAAACACAGTTTCCTGAAATATCATGCTAAGTTGTCTGCATTTGGTTCAAGGAACAGCATTAAATAAAGCAGAGTCTGGCAGCGCAAAATGTTTGCTGTTAGCTTAAAACTTTAAAGCTTGGAAACTGTACCACATTCCTAATTTAACTCAAGAAATTCAGTAGTTTTAACCTACTAGCTTGTTACTAGAATATATGCAGGAGGTGAGCAAACTGCTGTTTTAAGCCAGCCTGTGTCTGCAGGGTGCTGGAAGCAGAGTATGGGATTCACTGCAACATGACCTTGCTGTTCTCCTTTGCACAGGCCGTTGCCTGTGCTGAAGCTGGAGTTACTCTGATTTCCCCATTCGTAGGACGTATCCTAGATTGGTATATTGCAAATGGAGATAAGAAAGCCTATGAGCCTTCAGAGGATCCAGGTAAGCTTTCCTTTTAACAGAGATTTTAAAAGTACAATAGCTACTCATTCAAACTGCAGCTTACTCATAAATCCTCTATGAAAAAATACTTTTTGAGCATGTTCTAAATCATGTTTAGGAGTGAAGAGTGTCACCAAGATCTACAACTACTACAAAAAGTTTGGCTACAAAACTATTGTGATGGGTGCTTCGTTCCGAAATACGGGAGAAATAAGAGCGCTTACAGGCTGTGACTATCTCACTATTTCACCCAAGCTTCTGGCTGAGCTCAGCAAAGAGTACACCAAGTTAACTCCCACACTCACTGTGAAAGAGGGTAAGTCCACAGAAGTCAATGCTGATGTAACATGGGCTTGCTCAGCCTCCCTTTCTTCTTGAATGTCAGGAGTACCTGGTTCCACTCAGCTCTGTCATGCTTCCCCTCTGCTTTAAGGATAAGCCTTGACCTCTCTCTAAAGGAAATACTGGAGCCTCACTACAACACTCCTGCTACAGTTGCTGACACACATAGTCACTTCTTTAGGGTCTTGGATTCCCACAGAGTACACAAACTGGAATTACAATGGGTTTTGAGCGTGCTTAAATACTGTGTACCCTGCACAGGGAGAGCAGAAGGAGGAACTTTATACTTGGGATGAAGTTTTGCTGAATATTGGCCAAGATGCCAATCCTGGTGTAATCTGATGTTAAACTCTGATGTTTAATCTGGTTTAATCTGATGTTAAACATGCCAAAAGGCACGTTTTCCCTCCAGAAACTCCAGAAGTGAATTATATGCAAGACAAAGTGATTTGATCTAGTGATACTGTGCCACGATGGCTTTGAATATATTTTCTACTTTGCACTACTCTTCCTTTTCAGTAGCCTCATTAAAATGCTACTTTACAAGGCAGAAAATGAGATTTGTGCACAGCTGCAGTGATGGGTTGCTGCTGGGGGTGCTAGCTGGTTTGTAGGCATGTTATCAATCCAGCTTTTGTTAGGTACTTGCCAAATAATCAAAGACTTAATTGTTCAGCATATTTGCTTCGAATGTCTCACTGCAGTAGAACTGTTGCATAATTCTTCAGAATAGGCCTGAAAGTACCATTCAGAAGCAGGTACAAGATCATGACATACACATAAACACTGTATTTTAAGAGAAACTGATAATCTAGGTTACCTTCCACTCAGGAGCATTTTCAGTCTTGCATCCCAAAGCATGCTCACATAGCAAGTCATGTTGAAAGCTGTGTTTGAAACTCTTCAGCAGGTGAAGACAGTCAGAATCTTAAGACTGTTTTAGGAAGCCTGTGGGTTTTGATAATAACCTGGTAATATAGTTTGTTTCTTTTTCAATTTCCCTTGCACAGCTCAGGCATGTGATCTTGAGAAGATCCACCTGGATGAGAAGGCATTCCGCTGGCACCATAACGAAGACCAAATGGCTGTGGAGAAATTATCCGATGGGATCAGAAAATTTGCTGCAGATGCGATTAAACTGGAGAGGATGTTAAAGGTAGATGTTGCATCACGCTGCCTCTTGTCACTCCTCATGTTCCTCCAAGTACTGCAGCTAATTCACAACTCCTTGGGGTATGGCTAAGGATTAGGAACCTGTGAGCAAGCCCAATCAGGTTTTATACAGGCAGTACATGTTATGTAGGGCAGGCAGTTAGAAAACCGGCCACATAAAATGAAATGAACTTGGTAAACTTCACTGCATCTCAAGAAGGAATTCATGCCAGATGTATACAGCCACCCCTGCTGTTTGAGGCCCAAGGAAGGCTTCAGACTGGCAGCTAAGCAAGATAACACCACAAAGTGAAGAGTCCCTCCCCTAAGTCTGATTCTCAACGCGTTAGCTGTCAGCAATGCTATAAGACATGTAAATAATCTTCAGACAGTGAGCTGGAAATAAATCATGTTTGTACTTGGCACCAGGAGGCACCAAGAACAGATATGCTGAGTATAGCCAGGCCATGTGAAGGTCTTCTGGCACTTCATGGACAGTCCTGTGGGATTAATCAAACTGGGGGTTTTGGGGAAAAAAAATACACACCAAGCAAACCTGATCTAGGCACTTGTTCTTTTTGACTGACAACTACTTAATAGTGACTTAAGCCTGCAGTGCTAAAGCAGTTCCTCAACTCGTACTCAGGTGCTGTTTGTTTACTCCTCTCTTTCTAGGAGCGAATGTTCAGTGCTGAAAATGGAAAGTAGAAAAATCAGCATTTTCCTGAGTGGTCAAGTGGAGTGAGTGGATCACCTGAGGTTAAATGGATGTACAAATGTCTTACCTGTCAAAGTCTTATGCTATGTATGGATAGATTTCTGTATTATGCTTTTTTATCAATTTGCAAAGGGACAAATAGAATTTCAATTTTTTTGTGGCACTTTTGTCAATACATGCAAATTAACACAGACTTTCCTTGTCATGTGCTCATTTCCCTGCTGCAGGGGACACCTGGCATAGTATTTTAAATTTTTAAACTTTTTGTATTAAATTCCTAATTAGGTTTACAGTCCTAACACACTAAGAAAGCAGTTTTGTCTTTAATGCTGTTTTACTGTGACTAAAGAGAAGACTCAGGATTCAAAAGGCCTCCTTGGTGCAAAACCCACAAGTAATTTTATGAGACACAAATATGACACATACACACTGCACCAGTGAGGCTCCAGTCCCTTCCTGTCCTCTTGCTGCAGCCAAGGTGGCAGCAGGAGTGACTTACTCATTGGCAAGCCTCGAGAATACCATCATCATTAGTATTTCAAGGCTTTTTAGCAGGGGCAAAGCTGTTCTAAGCAATTTTGGGAATTTTGTCTCATTAGTTGTTTACTACTCACCTAAGAGCCCAAAGCAACGTAACAGCAAGAACATGGAACTGATTGAAGCTGAAAATGCCACTGTGATTACAGCACAGGGAGAAGCTGCACCTACCCTGCTGTTCTTGAAGGCAACACTTGCAAAATTAACTAATTAAGTCTTTCAAGCAGTTAATAAATAATCTGACAGTTGGTTAATCTGAGCTGACAGAGTGAACATGTGGATGCAACTGAAGATCATCTGTCAGAGCTTTGTATATTTTCTTTGGAGGAGTTACTGCTTTTCTTTATGCAATAGCCATAGAATTGCTGCCAGCCCTGCCCTACCCCACCCCTCAAATGAGGTGGGTTTGTGTTTGGGCTTTTTGTGTTGGATTTGGGGTTTTGTTTGGTTGGTTTTGTTTTTTTCCCTAAAGTTCTATCACCTTCTCTTTTCCTAACTGTCCATCAGCTGCTGCTTTTGTGAAAGAGGAAGAGCTGTGTGGCAGCCTTCCTCAGGAATGACCCAATCCTAGTGCAGCACTTAACCAATTACAGGGCTTTCTATTAAGTTGGGATGCACGTGATTATGTTTTGTGCTGTATTTCATTAAGACTAGTTAAATATATCTGTTATTAGTTTATATAGGTCCAGTTTCATCAAGAATAGACAAGAGGTTCCTGTTTATATGTAGACACAATTAAGTGTTTCCTGATAGAAGTTGCCTAAACTTAATCTCTTAAAAAAAAAACCCAACAAAAAACCCACAGCACAGTACTAAGGCTACAACACTTAAAACACACATCTATATCCAGAACAACCCCTCTGCTCTACAGGTGTGGGGCACAGGGGGAAGCAGGCTGTCCAGAGGAAGGTGAGCATTTCCCCTTCCTTTCAAAGGCCAAGCTAGCACTAAAAGCTTTACCTGGCCCCCACGCAGCCATCTGACCTACCACTGCAAGTCAAAAGTGGGCACTGTGATTTCAATTGCTGTAGTAATTA